AAGCCCGGCACCCTTCTGGAAGGAGAGTTCTGATGTGGTTCCGGGAATCTGCGGGAGCCACTCTCCCAGCTTAGGAGTCACAGCCCCTGCCACCACTGGGACCACTTTGGCCTTTCCTTTCCACATCCTCTCTAGTTCCTCGTTCAGGCCTTGGTACTTCTCCAACTTCTCATACTCCTTCTTCCTGATGTAGCTGTCACTTGGCACCGCTACATCTATCATCACTGCTGTCTTCTGGTCCTTGTCTACTACCACAATGTCTGGTTGACTGGCCAGTACCTGCCTGTCTGTCTGGACCTGGAAATCCCACAGGATCTTAGCCCTGTTATTCTCCACGACCTTCTGTGGAATCTCCCAACTGGACTTGGGAGGGTTTAGCCCATGCACTGTGCAGATGTTCCTGTACAGAACGCTAGCTACTTGGCTGTGCCGTTCAGTATATGCTGTTCCTGCCTGCATCTTACACCCTGACACTATGTGTTGGACTGTCTCTGAGGCCTCTCTGTACAATCTGCACTTTGGGTCCTGTCTAGTGTGGTAGACGTCTGCTTCTATGGATCTGGTGCTTATTGCCTATTCTGAGGTGGCTGACATTGGGAAATCTTACCAGTGGCTGGAAAGGGCTGGACTAAAAGACAGCACTGAGGCACCAATCATAGCAGCACAAGTACAGGCCCTAAGCAGCAGATCCATAGAAACAGGGGTCTAGACCCTCCCAAGTTCAGATGGGAGATTCTGTAGAAGGTTGTGGAGAATAACAGAGCTAAGATCCTGTGGAAATTCCAGATTCAGATGGACAAGCAGGTACTGGACAATCAACCAGACATCGTGGTAATAGACAAGGATCAGAAGACAGCAGTGGTGATAGATGGTGCCAAGTGGTGCCAAGGGATAGCAACATCAGGAAGAAGGAGTATGAGAAGCTGGAAAAGTATCAGGGCCTGAAGGAGGAACTAGAAAGGATGTGGAAAGTCAAGGCCAAAGTGGTCCCAGTGGTGGTAGGAGCACTCAGGGCTATGACTCCTAAGCTGGGAAAGTGGCTCCAACACGTCCCAGGAACAACATCCAAGCTCTCTGTCCAGAAGAGTGCAGTGCTAGGAACAGCTCAGATACTGCGGAGAACCCTCAAACTCCCAAGCTTCTGGTAGAGGACCCGAGATTGAGGAAGACGATTACCACCCATAGGAATGAGAGGGATTTTTTAAAAAATTCTAATTCAGTATATATATTTCATTAGAAAACAATTTAAATTATTTTCTAATAGAATATAGATGTCCTTTGGAATTTGCTTCTGTTCTCTTTTTCTTTTCACTGGTTGAAAGGATATGCTATCTAGGCAGAAGAAATTCGTAGGATTCCAAAGTTTTGGTTTACAAAATCAACCCTATAGGTGTTAATTGATCAAATGGAGATGAGACAATTTTCCTTCTTTGGATATTAGAGTAATTCAGGCTAATGGCCTGCCAAGTTTATTTTCTTCCACTGTTACATTTACAATGGTGTTTTGTTTCTCCCAGCAGCTAACTCCAACAACCCATGGTAAGACCTTAATGAAGATTGTAAAATGGTGCAACTGAACACCTTGTTCTTTTAGGCTAACCAATTCTAGCTGCTCAGGGAGAGATGAATTGCTGCTTGTTTCTTTTCACTGATGTATATTGTTCATTTAATCATGTACTTTTATTTATTTGTGGCTTGTTTTAACAATAATTCTGTTTTGTCTTTTTTTATTATTAATTTTCTTCAATACCTTTAATTTAGTATAGACAAGTTTACATTCAGTGGACAAATAAGTTTATTTCTTTATATCTTTAGAAAATGTATATAATCGCCCATCTTAAATACATAACTCTGGATGGCAGACCATTTGCAAAAAAAATAAATAAATGGTATAAAAGAATCCCATAACCAGACAGAATTAAAATAATTCAAACAGAAAAAAAAAAAGAACCCAGACTTGCAAAACAGACACATGTACTGTATCTTGGGCTCCCTTAACATCCTGGTCCTAATGCTTGAGGAAAAAGCCAGTTGTTAACACACTTCTAGATGGTCAAGAGCATTAGGCCCTTCTAAATCTCAAGTTGGGTACTTGCCAATACCAAATTTATAATCTTATTGTCAGGTCTACGATGTTCAAACTCCAATACAGACAAATCTCTCAGACTCCAAAGGAGATTCAAAAAAGATTTCATTTACTGGAGGATACAAGCATCTGTAAGCAAAGCATAGCTAAAATGAAAGCCCGCGTAATTTTCCCTCTACTTTTACCCCTCTTGTCCCCCCTTCAGTCTAGGCGCCACTTTTAGTTCTCACAGAGGTGTGTGATCTTGTGCATTCCAGCCCCGATATCACGTCTTCTTCCTGGCCTTCAGTCTTCCTCCGGCTCTGTCTTCTTTCACTGCCCTCCCCCCACCAATGAGAATGGCAGAATCAAAGCAAGCTAAGAAAACATGGCATTGACTATGCTAATAAAACGGTCCTCTAGTTGATATATATTTTGATTGCTGCAGATTCTGACACTTATATGAGAGTAGATGGGAAAGTACCTTGTAGCAGAAGAAAAATGGGATTGGAAATCCACATTCAAGATCTAGCTCATATGTTTCTTAAATTTATGGCTACAAGGTTCTACATACCTTCTGTCTCCCACTGGGTATTATCAACTGCAACTCCAAATCTGTTCTGGAAACAAACTCAGCCCTTGGTTATTCAAATGAAAGCATTGATGGGTACTTTCCATCATGGGGTACTTTCTCCCCAGCTCTCTATTCATCTCACCATTTGTGAACAAATATATGTCTAGAAACACTCAGCCACATCCCACATTTCTGCCATATTTATATTTAGTGGCACATTGCTTCTCTCTGCTGGTTATTTATTAGGGGGTCTGTAACACCTGAATTTCAGATTCCTAGATTATTTTTTTTTTTATGAAGCTGGAATTGGTATACACATTTGCTGACTTTTTAAAAATTCCCCATATTCTGGAGAGTGGAAGTGATACAGTATTTGAACGTTAACGTTAACCTTCCATAATGATTGAAACTTTGGTTGGAATTTGGTTTTCCTGCTTTTCATTGTAGAATAGCCAATAAAACCATGACAAGAGGGCCTAACAGGATTGGACAAGTTTACAAGAAGGCAATTTTCAGACAGTTCACAGATGAGTCCTACGCTCAGGAGATTGCAAAACCATCTTGGCTGGGTTTTCTTGGTCCAGTACTGAAAGCTGAACAAAGGGACACCTTTATTATTCATTTTAAAAACTTTGCTTCCCGGCCATATTCTGTACATCCGCATGGAGTCTATTACAACAAAGACTCTGAAGGTAAATCAAATAACTTTTTCTGTCTTACTGTTTCAGATGTTATTCTCCAAATATTACTGTTAGCGTGACTATGGTGGTTGGAATAGTGCTGGAACTAAGCTGGTTTGGGTTCAAGGCTGTCTCTCACATCAGTTAGTCCATTGAGATATATAAAAATATTCCTGCCGTATTGGACTATATTCTTGTCCAGTCCAACATTCTGATTCTCACAGTGACTACCCAGGTACTTCCAAAGAGTTCACTAAAAAAACATAAAACAAATCAATCATTCATAGCTGCTGACATTTGGGATTCAGAGCTGCTGTAGACTGTCTCAGAACACGAAGCTTCCAGGTAGCCCATAACTAACAGTCTTTGATAAAACAAGAAGATCGTGTGGAAGATCTAGCATCTTGCTTCTCTCAGCAAGCAGGGCATGAAGGCAATGGCCCTCTCCTGCTTTTGCTGCTCCAGATATTGCTTCTGAGCTTGGGAGTCCCATATAGTCATCACAGTCCATTGCAATGGATGGACTATCAATCCTTGCCTTGGAACCACTTCTTTGGATAGTTTACAAAACATCTGTAAGGTAAGGACCATCTGTACTTCTGGGGATAGAGTATTCTAAAGAATAGGGATAACTGAGAAGTCCTATCACCTGGTCTACATCTCATGAACCTCCCAAGGAGGGGGACCCACAACAGGCCCTCTTTTTATGACAAGACCAGATGGGCAGGTTTGATTCTGGCATGGTGTTTAAAGGCAATGGACCAGCAATTTGAATTGGGCCTGGAAGCCTACTGGCAATCAGTACAGTTAACTTCAAAACTGTTGTTATTCTAGCCTGATGAGGTTGTCCCACCAGGGGTCTAGCTGCTGCCTTTTGTATCAGCTATAGCTTCCAAATCATCTCAAATCCAGCCCTACATAGAATACAATTCAGTTGTGCAACTGAGTGGTGATCAGGGCATAAGCCTGGACATCTTGGTCCACATAGGGTCATTATCTGGTGCATTAGCTAATACTGAGCAAATGCTCCTTTGATCATAGCTTCCATTTGCTGTTTCAGCAGGAGCCAAAAGTCCAGGAGAACCCTCAAGTCATGAACAAACTCTTGAGCAGCATGACCCCATTCAGAGTTACAGCTTTGAGAGAGGATTTCTCTGGAAAACAGTGGGAGGATACAGTAGGGATTGTAACAGAAGGATTTAGAGAGCTCCCTTGTGGGAATTAGAGCATCCAACTCAATGTATCACACGTGTACTGTATGTGTGATAGTCTGTGCACCATTAACAATGTTTTATGACAGAGGTGGGCAAAGCAGTGACCTTGCAACTGCTAAAAGGGCTGTAAGGAACCAGATGGATCTGTTTTTGTCAGGGTATTCATCTCTGCAATCCCAACACCTTTTATCTCTGGAACCTGCAATGTTCTCCCAAGTCAACTGACCCATGAGAAAGATGAATTGAGCTTAACCCCTGTGACTGCTGTTTTCTTGAAAGAATTGCAGAAATGATTGGCCATTGCCTTACAGGTAGTCCTTGCTTAATGTCCACTTGTTAATGACCATTTGAAGTTATGACAGCGCTGAATGAGGGGTACTTACAACTGGTCCTTGAAATTGCGGCTATCTCAGCATCCCTGCAGTCATGTGATTGTGATTCAGGCACTTGGCAATTGGCTCACAATTATGACATCACAGTGTCCCGCGGTTATGTGATTGCCATTTGCAACCTTCATTACCAGCTTCCGATGATTAAAGTCAATGGGGAGGCCAGCAGGAGGTTGCAAATGGTGATCATATGACCGCAGGATGCTGAAACCACATGGGATTTGCCTAACAGCAGCAACTGGGACTGCTGGAACTACTGTTGTAAGTAGGTGTGGTCAAGTGACATCGCGCCTTAGGACCATGTTGCTTAGCAATAGAGTTCTCGGTCCCAATTACCCTTGATAAGCGAGGACTACCTGTATTTCAGGATTTATTTCCCACTTCCCACCTCTCTCTTTTTTAAACAGTATAAGAATCCAGGTGCACCTCTGAACTTTGGAAACAGAAGAAACGCTATTATGGCATCAAAGCAACATATTGTAGATTCAGACAGTCTTCTTTCCTTCTCTGTTTCAGGGGCACTTTATCGTGATGGAACAAGTGGAAAGAGCAAAGAAGATGATTTTGTTCTCCCTGGAACCAACTACACATACACGTGGCCAGTAACTGATGATTTTGCACCTACTCCAGCTGATCCACCATGTCTGACCTGGATTTACCATTCACATATTGACACCCCAAAAGATATCAACTCTGGGTTAATTGGACCATTGCTGGTTTGTAAGAAAGGTACAGTGTTTAGAATACTGCCTTTGGTGATGCAGAGTTGGTTACTGAGGTCCTAAATGACTTAGTATCAGAAGACCTGACACTGTTGTAACCGCCATATGAATGCATCCATCCTTGATGCATTCTTGATCTCTCAGCAGCTTTGGATACCATCAACCACAATATCCTTGTGAGCTGGCTCCATGGGTGGGGGATTGGGGGCACTGTTTTACCATGGTTCTCTTCCCTTCTCCAGGGCTGATTCCAGTAGGCAGGGAGAGATCGCTCCTCAGGGCCATCCTTTGTGGGGCCCCAGGGTTCAGTTCTCTTTCCCCTCCTTTTCAACATCTATGTAAAACTGCTGGCTGAGGTTATTTGTTGGTTTGGGATTGGATATCATCAGTACTTTGATGATACCCAATTATATCTTTCAACTGAGCTGGCCAAGTGAGGCTGTCAAGGTTCTGCCCAGTGCCTGGAGATTGCAGGCCTGGATGGGAAGGAACCATCTCCAACTCAGTCCTACCAAGGTTGAGTGGTTGTGGGATAAGGCTGTGAGATAAGGCTGTAGGATAAGAATAAGGGGAGGAGTATTATTTTAATACCCCTACAGCTAAGGACAACTTAGGCCGTGCATACTGTATCTGGGGACAAGATGAAGGCATCATGGGGACACAGTGGAAAAAAGTTGCCAAGGCATATTTGTCACATGGTTAGGAGTAAGTATGGAAAGGTCTTCCTTCAAAGGTCAGCACTAAGCATGGAACTTCTTATAAAAGTAGCCTCCCCGATGTCTTCCACCTGTCACTTTGAAGCTGTTTTTATTCATCACCTTCCAATACTGACTTTTCATTTTTATTTTTTTAAAATAATTTTTAATACTGAGATGTTTCTGCTGTTTATTCAAAATGTAGCTATTATAGAGCTTTTTTAAAGAAAAGTTGAAAAAAGGGAGTTATGGAAGATTGTTATATATGATAACTGCTGCGAGATTATTATAAACACAAAAATGAAAAGACTCCGAAATTCCTGCAACGGAGGAATGGCTGGTGAAGATGGCAGAATTAGCAAAGATGGCAAAACTGACTTGTCTGATTAGAGAAAGAACAACAGCCACATTTATTAGTGACTGGAAACCCCTCGTGGACTTTTTGCTCAAAAAAGAAAAAAAATGAACTTGTGATTTATGGGTTTGGTGATTAGAAAGGGTAGACTATGAAAAGAAGGAAATTATGCTGTAACTTTAGAGAGAGTAGGTAAAATATAAATGTAATTGCAACTGCTGTTAAGAAGATCAGAAACCACTTCTTTATTTCCTTTCCTTTCCTTTCCTTTCCTTTCCTTTCCTTTCCTTTCCTTTCCTTTCCTTTCTCGTCTCTATTTCTTTCTTTGCACTTTTTCATTTACTTATTACTTTTTTTTACTTTCCTTGCTTTTTTCTTTCAAAATTTGTATTGTTTTTATTCTTTTAAAAATTTATTTAATAAAACTAATATATAAGTGTGTGTGTGTGTGTGTGTGTGTAAAAGAAAAGTTTAAAAGGGAGTTATAAGTAAATGGAATCTTTCTCAGAATATACACTGAGTGTATCTTACTCTTCCCCTTTGTTTGTCTGTGAATTACACTGGGCAGGTACCATGTTGAAGAAAGCTAATGTACAAATACCTGAAACAGCCAATGAGATTTTTCTTAAAGATTATGTTTCTGTGACACATTTAAACAAACCGGCTAATCCATTGGAGCTTTGGATGATATGCAGACTCAGCTAATTCTGTTAAAACAAAGAAATAATGATCTGCTATTACAAATCAAGTCCAACAAAAAGAGGATATCAGAAAAGAATGTACCAGTTCTGAAAAGAACAATATCCAGAATCAGAAATAATGGAACAGAGGCTAGCGGATCAACATCGATTTATAATACGAAATAAAGTATTCACAGAAGTAGAAATTGGAGAAATGCAGAGGTCTACCCAGGGCAAAGAAACTGAAGCCTTGCCAGAAGTAGCTCAGACTGTAGAGGCAAACCAAGGGGAGTCAGAAGTAGAGGAAGCCCGCATAGCTATTGAATGGTTTTCATTCCCAAACCAGGCACCCTCTCCTCTGCCTTCTCCTCAGAAAGAACAAAGCCCTCTAACTAAAAAAAAACAAGAGGAATTGAAACATAGAATAACTGAGCATCTAGAACAGCACAGAAAGAACAGAATAAGATGGTTTTCATTCCCAAACCAGGCACCCATGGTTTTCATTCCCAAACCAGGCACCCTCTCCTCTGCCTTCTCCTCAGAAAGAACAAAGCCCTCTAACTAAAAAAAAACAAGAGGAATTGAAACATAGAATAACTGAGCATCTAGAACAGCACAGAAAGAACAGAATAAGGTTGCCTGCATTGAAGCTTGCTACAATGAAACAGTATTAAAATATGCCAATACTATAATATCAAATTTAAGCACCAGCACTCTGCAAGAAACAAACCAACTAATGTACAGCAGGGCTGCAGTTATAACTGAATACCTTG